TTAATAAAAAATGGATTTTTATTTTTATATTAGAAACAGAAACTTCTACATCAAAAAAACGTTATTTTGTGGATGGATAATGGATATGTCAAGTCAGGTTTCAGGTTATGTTGATCACATAGATCACAGACATCGATCATTAGGCAATCCAAACAAATGAATTACCAGTGATTACCAGTGGGCAGGTTTGGTATATCTAAGGGTGGCGACATATGGTGTATTCTATCTACTTTACGTAAAATCATGAATAATGGATTACATTTAAATATTTTATGTCAAACACAATAAAAATAATATTTAAAAAACCCACTTATACATTTCTTCATAAATTGGCAGGCTTGGCGAGTACTACTTCGAATAAAAATAGCGTCCAAGTTGCAAGACTATGTCGCTACCCCCTTAAATATACAAGAATTTCCCACTGGCACCTATTGTTTGACAGGTCGTTGGAATGCCTAATTGCGTTCGGTCTGCCAAGTTCCTTTAACTCCGTTAACACTTTTAACTCCAAACGACCCTTTTAGCGTTAGGTTTAGTCCTCAGGGGTGCTATTTTCAAACTCGAGAGAATTCATTTCTCTCAAGAGAAATGTCATACGTCAACGTAAAACCGTATTTTTAGGGCTCTTAGGGCCAGTGTGAACTCACTGACTGTTTCTCTCGGTTTATTTAGAGAGAATTAAAATCTTCCTAAGAATTTTAATCCTCGATGCCTTTAAAAACAACATTTCCACATTGACGTATGACATTTCTGATGAGAATCTTGAGAGAAATGAGAGCTCCCATACTTTGAAAATAGCCCCCCTGGGGACCTATTTTCAAACCGTGTGAGTACTCATTTCTCTCAAGATTCTCATCAGAAATGTCATACGTCAATGTGGAAATGTTTTTTTTAAAGGCTGTTTTTCTAGATATAACCGGAGCTTATGACAATGTCGATATTGGAATACTTTTGCAAAAATTGGTAACACTAAATCTCCCCCAAGACATTATTGACATCATTAAACAATTTTACATCTCTAGAACAGTAGTTATTCGAGACAGGGCAAGCGGTAAACTGTCTGCATCTGGTTTTGTTAACAAAGGTCTTCCACAAGGCTCGACTCTGAGTCCTCTGTTGTTTAATATTTACATCAATGATATACATTCTGTGACTGCAGATGGAGTAAATTTATGTGGTTATGCTGATGATATAACATTGCTGACGTCAGGCAAGAATTTGGTTAATATGATCCAGTCTTTAAATGGGTCTTTGCGGAATCTTCATGATTGGATGCAATTACATGGTATGTCAATTTCCTTGAATAAGTCCAAATACATTATTTTTCAAAAACGAAAAACTTCGCGAACTCTCCCGGATATACTGTATGATCTACAAGTAATTCCTAAATGTAATGTTGTTAAATATTTAGGAATCACTCTTGATTCTAAATTAAAATTTACTAATCACATTGATTCCGTGGTAGGGAAAGCACGAAGGGGATTAGATGTTATGAGAGCCATCTCTAGAGTTGGATGGGGAGCAGACCCAAAAATTCTAGCAATGATTTATAAAACAATCGTAAGATCACATCTAGATTTTGGATCCATTTTATTTTTCAAAGTATCCAAACAAAATTTAAATAAATTAGACAAAATTCAGTTTCAAGCATTGAGAATAATAATTGGAGCAATGAAAAGTTCTTCCATTGGATCCATTTTGGCAGAATGTTGTGAACTTCCTTTAAGATGGCGCCGCATTGATCTAGCTTGTAAATATGTTTTAAAGAATCTAGCTCTAGATAATAATCCAATTGGACAAGAATTGATAGAACTATATTCAACTTTTAATTTACAAAATTTAGAAGTACAAAGTGATTTTCCCTTACTTGAAGCTCTAGACCGATGTCTACCCTATATTTCTCAAATAGAAAAAAATCAAAATTGTCCATGTTTTGAATTCAGTTTTGTTTCACAATTTATAGATATTAACATTGTGAGTTTAGGTTTAAAGAAAGACTGTTTGGATAACTCTAAAAATTTTACCATTGCAATAAACACGTTATTTCCTAATTATACTTTAGTATATACAGACGGATCTGTAGACCTATCCTCTTATAGAGCAAGCTATGGAGTTCATATTCCCGAGTTAAACTATAATATTAGTTCACGTTTGGCAGATGGAACTAATATTTGCACTGCAGAAATCAAAGCTGTGGAAATGGCTGTAATCCAAATTAATAAATCTGACTGCAAAAATGTGCTTATATGTATGGACTCTTCTAGTGCTATTCAGAGAATACAAAGCTTAGGTATACTATCCTGTTCAGATAGCTGCAGTTTAAATGTTAAAAGTCAGATTTACGATGCAAAACTTAAGAATATAAATATTACTTTTGCGTGGATACCTAGTCATACGAATATAAAGGGAAATGTCATAGCTGATAAACTTGCTAAATTAGGACTTAACAAACATTATTCTGACGTAATGACAATGGATTATAGAAATATGCTACCCAGAGTTAAAAATAAAATTTGGGATGATTGGAGTGAAGAATGGCGAGAACTGAGTCAAACTACGGGAAAGCAACTTTTTAATATATTAAACAAACTGCCTAGAACACCCTGGTTTTTTAAAATTAAATTAACAAAGGGACAAATCGGTACAATGTGCAGAATGAGAATTGGTCACTGCTATAGTTCTGCTCATCTGTTCCGAATTGGTATCCTTGACTCCCCAAGTTGCAGCTGTGGTGAAATTGGAAGTTTAGGTCATATCTTGATGGAATGCAGTAATAATACAGATAATATAAAATTCTTATACCAAAAAATGGTTTTAGCTTTTCGACCCCAGTATTCCCCTTTATGTCTAAATGATTATTTACGAAAACCAATTTGCAGTACAGCCATTATCATGTCATTTTTAAAATCTTCTAACATTAATTTATAAAAAATATTGTTCACCTTATTTTTTTTTTTAATTTTACAGAGCCAAATAGTATTTTAAATTTTATTGTATTTATTTTCATGTAACTAATGTTAGTGCTGGTTAAATAACTTGTATAAGTTGAGACCAATAAAGAAAAAAAAAAAAAAAAAAAAAAAAAAGGCATCGAGGATTAAAATTCTTAGGAAGATTTTAATTCTCTCTAAATAAACCGAGAGAAACAGTCAGTGAGTTCACACTGGCCCTAAGAGCCCTAAAAATACGGTTTTACGTTGACGTATGACATTTCTCTTGAGAGAAATGAATTCTCTCGAGTTTGAAAATAGCCCCCCTGGGGACCTATTTTCAAACCGTGTGAGTACTCATTTCTCTCAAGATTCTCATCAGAAATGTCATACGTCACTGTGGAAACGCTGTTTTTAAAGGCCTCGAGGATTAAAATTCTTAGGAGGATATTAATTAACTCTAAATAAACCGTGAGAAACAATCAGTGAGTTTACACTGGCCCTTAGGACCCTAAAAATACTGATTTACGTTGACGTATGACATTTCTCTCGAGAGAAATGAATTCTCTCGACTTTGAAAATAGCCCCCCAGGGGACCTATTTTCAAACCGTGTGAGTACTCATTTCTCTCAAGATTCTCATCAGAAATGTCATACGTCAATGTGGAAATGTTGTTTTTAAAGGCATCGAGGATTAAAATTCTTAGGAAGATTTTAATTCTCTCTAAATAAACCGAGAGAAACAGTCAGTGAGTTCACACTGGCCCTAAGAGCCCTAAAAATACGGTTTTACGTTAACGTATGACATTTCTCTTGAGAGAAATGAATTCTCTCGAGTTTGAAAAATAGCCCCCCTGGACATCGATATGGTTTATTTCGAGAGAATTCATATTCTCAGGAGAATTTGACCACGTGATTAGGGGCGTGGGTACCCTTATTCCTCCATGTGTGTACCCATAACCGATGTGTGTACAAGGCCAAGTCACATACTACCTTTCTCTCGATAGAGCACTCCTTTCTCTCAATAGAGCACTCCTTTCTCTCGTGTTTGAAAATAACACCCTAGGGGGGCTATTTTCAAAGTATGGGAGCACTCATTTCTCTCAAGATTCTCATCAGAAATGTCATACGTCAATGTGGAAATGTTGTTTTTAAAGGCATCGAGGATTAAAATTTTTAGGAAGATTTTAATTCTCTCTAAATAAACCGAGAGGAACAATCAGTATGTTCACACTGGCCCTAAGAGCCCCAAAAATACGGTTTTACGTTGACGTATGACATTTCTCTTGAGAGAATTCATTTCCATCAAGAGAAATGTCATACGTCAACGTAAAACCGTATTTTTAGGGCCAGTGTGAACTCACTGACTGTTTCTCTCGGTTTATTTAGAGATAATTAAAATTCTCCTAAGAATTTTAATCCTCGATGTCTTTAAATACAGCGTTTCCACATTGACGTATGACATTTCTGATGAGAATCTTGAGAGAAATGAGTGCTCACATACTTTGAAAATAGGTCCCCGGGGGAAAATGGCCTTTTCCTATCTCTTCTATCCAAATCTGTGAAATAGATAAAATAATGCTGCGTTTGAGAATCCACATCGGATGCATCTGAGATGTAAAAAGTCTTTGATCACGTGATGCAGTATACGTAAATGTAATGGGACAGACGTGTCCGATGTGGATAAAAAAACGCTCGAGATGTAAAAAATGCATCCGATGTGGATTCTCAAACGCAGCATAAATTAATAGTAGGGTTCTCTGTCAATCTGGGCAATCCTTTAGAAACATATAGTGCTGCGAATTAGTACGGAACGGATTTTTTTTTAACTACACTGGCTGCTTGACTTGCCTATTAGAGGTTGAAGAAAGAAGAGAATAAAAAAGTACAAAATCGATAAAGATGGGAATATAACAAATTCGTAAGCCTAACGAAGAAGGACTGTTTTTTCGGTCCACCAATGTCAATTTTACCGGAAATCCCAGAATAAATTATTCGCAGAACATGGGGTCATGGCCAATTTATTATTTTTTGTAACTAACTTGCGTTCTGTGCCTGCGTTTGCGCTCTTCGAACGAGAAAGTGAACACAATTTATTTTTATTTATTTACTGTATCAGCTGTTTATTTGAATCGTTTGTGTGTTTGTTGGTATCTATTTTACGGAATGCCATTTATTTCTAAAGATTGGAGATCTCCAGGAGAGACTTGGGTTAAAACACAAGAAGGATGGGAGAAAAAGAAGGTCCTAGAAAATTGCAAAACCTCTTCAAAGTAAGTGGATATTTATTTTCATTTATATTACAACGCCATCGATCGTATTCATGTCGAGTGATTTCTTTGTTCTCTTTTAGAACTTTATTTCTTCTGCTTGACTTGATGTGATTTATTTGCAAATTAGTTTAATTACATTTGTTACTACATTCATACTATTGTTACCCAGCAAAAATATTCAATTTTCAAAAATCAATTACTTAGGTACCTATAAAATCATTTATGCTTCTAGGTATTGTTATTTCTTACAGCTGTTTCTATTTGATTCATATAGCCTTAATAGTAATAAATCATTTTGACTTATCCATGGGGCTGCTGCTCCCCCTGGACTCCAATATATAGTCCTAAAAATATGTTTGGAAAAAACACAAGAAACTACGTAAAATATTTTTCATTCAGTGTAGTAGAGAAAATTTGTAAAATAATAATTCAAAGTCCAGAAGCAAAAACAGTTAATTGTCAAAAAGTTATTTTTAATTCATTCCAATTGAGTATATACAAGGCGAGTTCGGATAGTCAGGGGCTGGAGCGGGACAAATTTTAGGGTGCTTTTAAATGACATTTAAGCCTGTTAAACTGTCACTAATCCGACTAAACCGAATGCTAAAAGGGTCGTTTGGAGTTAAAAGTGTTAAAGGAGTTAAAGAAACTTGGCAGACCGAACGCAATGACAGAGTGTCAATTTGATAATTCCTCATCCCTACTATCTTCCTTCCAGTAAATAATATGAAAAATTGGAAAAACACAAAAATTTTATTTTCAAGTGGGACACTTTCAATTAATATTTTTAGCTCTCATGATTCAACCCCCTAGGAGGGGTAGATGTCACCTTTAGAATCTTAAATGGGAAAGGCAACACATCATTTGAAAGGTAATTTTATGGAGAATTCAACAATATTGCCTTGATTTTAATTTTAGCACCTTCTAGCTGGATAAAAAACTTATGTATTGTAAAGTGTAATACTTCATTTGAAAGATGATTTTATTGTGTTTTAATAATTAGCATAAATTTTATATTTTAGTAGATTGCAATTAAAATTTGTGTTTCTTTAACCTTAAAGATCTGCATGAATTTTCAATTTTAGAGTGGAATGGTTACTTCAGCAAAGTACCAAAAATTTGGTTTTAAACTACTTAAACAAATCTTTTGTAAGATTCAATATAAACAGTATTAACGTTTTATTTTTTTTATTTATTTTTTTGCGATTTTAGAATACCCTGACAAAAAAATACAAATCCAACTTATATGATTATCTTGAAAGTAATTTTTAAAGTTCTTACACACTGGAACAGGCTAAGTGCCCAGAAGGCAATATATAAAAAAAGGCTATGTACCATAAGACCGAAACTGAAAAACTTATGTACTGCCCTACTCCAAAAAACGACTAACGTTTTTAAGTCATTTAATTATTGCAAAATAATAGTTGCCATATGTTTTTGTTAATAAATCTTAAACCTAATTAAATTAATGGATTATCTCTATAAATGTAGATACAGTAACTTAAAAATAGCTAAGTTTTTTTAAACAAAACTGGAAGCTAAAAAAATAATGTATTTTTACTGACAAATTTGTATAAAAATCTCTTCACTTTTCGTCTAAAAAAGGAATTATTTAAATCAAGTTTTACTTCTTATCAGCTTTTATATCTGTTCGAGTATATGCTGTTTTATTATCTATTACCAACTCGACTATCTTCAAATCTTCTAAGGACTTTCCTTTTTTAAAAACTTACCAACTGCCGGTCTTCTATTTTACTAAACGTTTTCTTTATCTTCACTCTACCATTAGCGCTGTATTTTATCACATAGATTTTGGATACATTTATATTTTTAGTATTAAACTATCACAAACTGACTGAAATTGGAAGAATTTGTTTTTCATCATTTCAAGAACTTCAGATTTTCTATTATAGGCTGTCTTGCAGTTCATTGGGAACAAAGGCCTTACAACATTTCTTCCTCTTTTCAATAAGCGCGAAATCTTTGTCGCAAGGTAAGAAACTATACCTGGACACAAGAAATTTATTTTCTATCTTGACAAATAAACCAATAGCTTCCAAGTTCATGAAGAAAAAAATCATAACTTGATTTTTATTCTGTCCAGAGCAGTTATCGCTCCAAACCACCAAATTATCTTTAAAATGATGTTTGTTAAACACTTGAAGTAGGCATACAATTATTTCATTGCTTCCCCTTTGGGCAATACCTTCATGCCACAAACACATTATTGCTTTGTCTGTGTCACACATGTGAACACAAAAGTTGTAGCATGAGAGAGAACATGTTTGAGTGTATTAATCTCAGTACAAATAATGCTTGTTGTAACTCGATACATATTGTACTTTGATTGCTACCAGGGAGATGCAAGCTGGCAGCGTTTTGCTTCAATAATCCAAACGCCTGTTCAGCCTTTCGATGGAGAACTTCCAAAGTCGACTTGGAGGCCATTAATTCACAGGACTTTTTTAAGGCTTTTATTTTTCACTCCAACTCATCACAAACTCGGCAAGTATCTGAACTTGGAGGTCTAAATGCCAGTTTTGGAAATTCCTTTTTAAATACTTTTGTATATAGCTTATAAGTCACCAAAGTATTTGGATTTTGAGTTTTAAAAGCCACGTGAACGTTAAGATCTGAACTAATTTATTCCCTACTTGATTTAGCACGTGAATAATGACTTTTGTAACGTGGAATCTTGTTAATCTGAGCAACTATTTGCATGCGGTGCTCGTTAGTAAACTTTTTTGGTTTTTCAAATTTCCCCCTTTTTTCCACGTATTAGGAAACACTCATTTTTTTTTCGTTTAATTAAAATTTCAATTTGACTCTTTGTAGTCGCAAATATATTGAGGAATGTCTGCCTGCATACCTGAACGTTTTCCATTAGGCACATGGTACACTGCAGAAGCTTGCTGTCTGCTTCGATTTGGTTCTTCATATGACCAGTGCCTACGCCGTTGACATCTATTTTCTCTATTAGTCCCATTAGATACGTTTTTTGCGTCTTAGTGAATAGATTCAATTTATGTCCTTCCAATAATTCTTTGTATTTGTATCTACTGTGACAGGCTCCTGGTTCACCTACAGTGAATCAGCGAGTCTGTGTGGCGCTATGAAGGTGATTCCCGAATAGGGGTTGCTCAGGCGCCAGTTTTGGTATCGCAGTTTGCTCTGCGACCCTGAAGTACACCAGAGTGTACTCAAGGTAAACTCAGTGGAGGTAAAAATAATTCCAGGCGGTCACTGCTAGGCATCCACTATACTAGAATAAATAAAAATAAAATACTTATCTTTTTTCTACCTCGTACCCTACGGTACCCTGAAAGAGAACGGTCAAGAACCAGCAATAATAGAAACACAGGAATAGGTACTAAAATATATATTTACAAAAAAAAAATAAATACAACAGTAATTATATTTGAACGGCTCCCTGCATTCGGAAAATCTATTCTTTAAAAATAAATTATTAAAATTGAAAAGTATTTAAATATTGACGGAAAATAAATTATTAAAGTTGAAAACTATTTAAATATTGCCGGACCCCGTATTTGGAAAATTTATTAAAAATAAATTATTAAAGTTGAAAATATTTATGAAAAATAAACTATTATTACTGAAAATTATTTAAACATATTGACGGATCCCTATATTCGGAAAACTGTATGAAAAATAAATTATTTAAACGTAGGGAAATATTTATGAAAAATAAATTATTATTATTATTATTGAAAATTATTTAAACAGAGAAATATTTATGGTTTATTATCACAGGAGGCTAATCGGACTGGGAAGTGTGAAACGCCCAGTATACGGAAAATGTATGAAAATAAATTAATACACTTGAAAACAATTTAAATATGACGGCAATCAAATGCAAGCAAATAAATGAAATCAAAATTGTCGGAGCCCCCTTGTATCTTAATAACCAATCGATGGGAAACGAAAATTTTCGCCTACTGATAAATATGATTATTCACGCGGTGTTTTGAACGGCGACCACAACGATCGTAGAAAATAATATTTATGAATTTTGCCCAGCGTCTATCGAGAGCGTGTGTGTGAATTTAATTTTACAGAAGTCGTCGGCTTCGTTCAATAATTAGTTGTGGACGGAGAACGGAATGATTCAAATACAATTGAATGAATAAATAAAAGAAAAGAAATTTTACACGAAGTGAGGCGCGGAAATTACTTAAAACGTCTTTTGGGGAAATTAGATACGTCATCAGGAGAGAGATCACTCTAGCCCGAGAAACGGATCGAACCTCCGAAAAAAGAAAAAAAATAAAACAATAAAATAATAAAAAAATCGAAAACAGGTCGAATCCCTCACTTCGATGTTAACGGGGCCGTTTTTAAAAGAAATTGGATATAGTAGCTGACAAAGAGAACACTCGATGTCTAGTCTAGGTCCAACCTCAAATAAAAAATTGCCAACGGTTTCCCACTAAGGGATGAAATGAAAAATGCTGGGCATGAATCAAAATTATTTCACTTGTCGGACGGGTGTCCCAAACTAATTGTAAATAAAAAAAATAAGCGGTTTCCTACCTTTAGAAAAATAAACGGGGTTGATCGATGAACTAAATCACGGTACTCACGGCACTAGGTACTAACTAAGGGTGAATAGTTTTCGGCTGTCGGCAATCACGAGAGAAGAGCTTACGGCGGCTGTCAAGCGAGAAGAGAGTAATTCCCAGATGGGATTTAATTTATGCTTTTTCGGTAAAGCAAGATGGAAGACCAGTACGACAAAGTGGGGATACCACTACTACAGCCGACTGTTTACAATTTAAAAATAAAAAAAAATGCCCTTATAGTCCTTGACAAATAAAAGGTAGATAATCCATACGAAATCGACTCTAAAAATGCCCATTCGGATTTCGGCAAATATAAGAATATTTTAATCTACGAGGGTACTCGCAATTGTTGAAAAACGGTAATTCCTGGGAAACAGAAATACGGGGGAACTTCTACATGTTCTCAGGCGGGAATTAATT